TGTCAATTATTTATGCAAGTGGTGTTGTTGCATTTGGCATATCAATTGAAATATATCTCTTATTGCCCTATGCTATCGTAAATTGTGTATTAGTTGGCGTAAATTGCGGTGGTCCAGATGAGTTAAAGATGTCAATTATATGGATATTCAAGATCCCTTTTATGTTCGTGGCAGTTGAATTATGTCATCGTAATGTTCAAATATTTGGAAACTACGATAAAAATTTTAGATCATCAGCACATGCTATGCTTAAACAAGCATTGATTTTCAGCATAACAATGTTATTTCAGAACTTATCAGTACTGAAAGCAGTATACCATGCAACGAACGTGAATCTGCCACGTCTGTGTGCATACAATCAAAGTCATTGTAACGTTGTTGATTTGTATGAACCAATGTTTTCATATGACGACGAGACCTGCATAGATGATTTATCAGCTTATGCCACTGGTCGTGAGCAAATACGATTTTTACGGAATTTCATATTATTAAATATGTTTTCTTATTCTCTCTTCAACAAGAATTTTTTGGAAATTAAGTCTAATGCAAAATATTTCTTCACACGAATGATTTTGATCCTGTTCTTTATCATATTAGCCACATCAGTTCTGATATCAAATATTGATCCATTGATTTTTATTAAATATTGTCGTTTACCATATGATATCTTGGAATGTATTATATTTCTTTTAACATTAGGATTAATGGTGCATAGTCTTTGTTGTACTCGGAAGCAAAATCAACCAAACCCATACCAGTATATAGAAACACTAGTATTAAGAGTACCAATGAATTCTACAGAGATAAAAAAGGAAGAGATGGCGCCGTCACCATCCATATTACCACCAAGTTAATCTACTGCATAAGAAGTCTTTATAATAAATTTCGATTTTGTGCAGATCGAAAACATTCGTATCCTGTTTTTTGCTAAAAAACCCAGACATTTGTACCTGCAATTTTTCTATTTTTTCTTGTTTTTCAAAATAAAATACACTTGTGGTTGAAGTGACCTTAGAAACACAAATAGGATGGAATGAATATCAATCTTTCAAATAGCAATTTCATTTGGTTTCCAAAAAGTAAGATTGCGTAAGATCTATATCTTTTCCTATATTTTATGTTTAAAGTATGTGAGAGAGAATTTTAAGTGCGAAAGCATCAAAAATGTGGCTTGATACGACTCTACGTAAGTGATTATGTAAATATAGGTCAAGATGAATAAGCAGCCACGTCCAGTTTCGACCTTGCTTAAGGGTCTCATCAGATGGCTACATTCAAATTCACCATCATACATCTAACACTATGTCTCCTCTATTTTATAGGAGTTGATTGCAGTTTCATCGTTATTTTATGATGATGAATTCGAATAAAGCCATCTGATGAGACCCTTAAGCAAGGTCGAAGCCGGTCATGGCTGCTTATTCTTAGTTGCATATTCAGTTTCTATCTGATTAAAAGTGTTAAATATTTTACAAAGTATAACATATGTGTTACGCAAGAAGTGTAAGGGTTAAATTAATTGTAATTCTTGAATAATTTAACTATTTGAAAATAAAATTTTTACCCACAAATATAACGGAATATTTCTAGTCTTACAGTTGAAAAATTCAATACTACACTCAAATTAAGTCGCTGGAGATCTATGAAAAAAAGTATCTTCAATAGATTGTGTAGATTCTTGAGCTTTAGTAATATGATTGAAGTTCCAAATGTCTATAATAAGTTTGTAAAACATTTGGTACACCTTCGTGAATAGTTGAAAATATGAAGGGAAATCCAGTTACTTTCAGATGTGCATAAGATAATTGATAATTACATATCATACTTTCAGTAATAATAGATTCAACTATCCAGTTGCACAAGAAATGTGGTAGATAAAACGAACGCATTGGTTTTGATAAAAATTTCTAATATTAATCATCTTTGGAGGCATTTATTTGATTTATTGATGATGATCATCTCAAACTTACAGATAAGAAATCGTATCGTTTAATAGGAATTCAACGAATTACTCTCCTTTACTTTTCATTCTAGTTGAGTGACACGAGAAGTACAACTTTCATATATAGATATATATATATTTAATTTTGGAATAAGATTAGTTTTTTTTTCAAAGAATCTTTGCTTTGGTTTTTAAGGTTCATCATTATCGAAATTAATCAATAATTTTTTTCAAAGTTCGATTGAAATAAAGAGATGAAGAATGCTTTTGTTCATGAAAATAAAAAGGAAAACTCAAGGCATATTGACTAGAGATGTTACATGACAATAATCATCGAATAGATTTTTTCATTTTCTAGAATATCTATCTTTCACCAGTCATCGAATGAGACTTTAATAACTTGATTAGAAGTTATTTAGAAGATGTTCACACAAAGAAACTTTTATAAATCTATTTAAAAAAAAAAGGCAACTTATGAAAATAAACTCATTATAATGTTATTGTTTTTCTAACTGAAAAATAAAGTTTAACGAGAAAAATGGAGAAATTATTGGAAAAAAAAACATCAGTGTTAAATATTGTATGATAATATATGAAATTATTTCGAGTTCATTTAGTTACTTTTCGTAGCTTTTTTCAAATAAAAAAAATCTTTTAAGATAAAAAGAAGATTTATTTTCAATGTTAATATTTAATTAAAATGGATTTCGTTGACCAGGTACATTACAACTACCATCAAATGGTTTTCGTATTTCACATAAAAGACGTTTACCCAGTCATTCTGAGAGTATTCGCGATTTAAGATATTCGTTCTTGTTCAAATCACCGCCAATAATAAACACAACTAACCAAGAAATAGATTGTAGGAAAACGAACGAATATGTGATAATCAGTCATGATAGATTTATTATGTTAAGAAAAGGTCTATATATGAATATATCTAATTGGAGTATAATCGTCGTCCAACCGTAACAACATTATTTTTCGTTGATTAAATATGATGTTTTATTACGTAGAGAAAATAAATGTCCTTCACTTGAATAATCGAACATGATTTTTTTTTCTCTTTAGTGTAATTATGATGAGAATAATCTCGTTAGATAATCATTGTTGTCATCATCGAAAACAGAAATTTTACATTCTTCCATTTGCCTTTTGTTTTCATGAAAAAAATTCATTTATCTGGCTTCGCAGCGGCCTTCTGAAAAAATATAGGAATATATAGGAATTTATAAGCCAAAAATTTATAGGACTGCCTTCAACTATATAGAAAATATACAGGACGTTAATTTTCGCTACAAAAATTTTCTAACGCCTAGAAAAACTACAGCAACCTCGTAGATTGTAATGAGATTCTTATTCTACAATCATCCTATATGAGCTAAATAAAAAAGTATCGTCAAGTTGTGAAAATCAATGACATGAAAATTTTTTTCAACAATAAAAATAACAATTTGTTCAATTTATTTTTAGCTATTTTGCACATAAATGTAATTTAAATGTTACAAAGTTAAATTAAATAAAGATCAAAAAAAGCTTTTTGGTTTACAGAAAACAAACGATATCTTTTATCAATACTACTGTAGTATCTCAGCTTCAAAACTATATTAACAAAATATATACATATTAAAAAATGATACCACTTTTGATTTAAAATGATAGATGCATCGGTTAAGGTTTTTTCTCGTTTTTGTTGTTGTTGAGAAAATTTATTTTTTCATTTTTCCTGAAGGGTGGGTGTGGGTGTGGGTGTGTGGGTGTGGGTGTGGGTGTGGGTGTGGGTGTGGGTGTGGGTGCGGGTGCGGGTGCGGGTGTGGATGTGTGATGTAGACGGAAGCAAAACTCACATCCACACTCCCACACATACCCACACCCACACACCCAAATTACAGCTTAAAAATTTTCTTGAAGAAGAACGAAAAAAACGATATAAGTGAACCGTTTGGGTTCCACTTTGAGATTTGTATGTCAAAGATTAACGCTCTTTTTTGTATAGTCTGGATGTTTGTTTTCGACTGTTGTCATTCATGAAGATGAAATCTTAGTTCGTACAAAATCTTTTCATTGATGGCAACAAATTTTCTTCTCATATAGTATCTATTTAACGTACGACCGAGAAAGAATAGATTTGCAACGCTGTTTCGTATAATTAAAAAGATTCAAAAGTATCACAGTACTATCTCCATATTGTATATTATTTCCAAGAGAAGTGTCTATCGCAAAGAGCAGAATTTTATTCAATAAATAAAAAATAAGACATATCACAGTGTGACTTGAAATGTCTTGATTTGCATTGGTTTGAGCGTGATCGTTGTATCTATCAATGATGCATCCTCTAGAACAAGACAGAGTCTAGATGATTGATCGGAATAAAACTCACTCGGTATGTCGACATGCGACGATTCTTTGTCGTTTGTTATCCAATCGAGTCGATGCAATTGAGACAAAGGTAAATTAGCAGCGAGTGTCAATTCGATCAAATCAGTAATTGTACCGAGGCTTTTGAATAACGCTTGCAGATCGACTTGGGCCGGTTGTGAATAGATTTCATCTTCGTTTAGTTCAAAGTAGTGTTCAACACGAATAAGGAATTGTTTGGGGCTCAATTGATCGAATGTTAGCAAATGAACGTTGAGCGGCATGCTTTCTGACAGAGCCGACCATGTTTGACGATAGGTACTCGAATAGTTTGCATAGGATGTTTGAGGCAAAGAATAGGTAGCAATAGGATGCATGAACAATTGTTGAGCACTGACTCGGTGAATGTGAGCACTGTTTGCAGGTGATTCGAGGATGAGAAAATGCTTACCACGCACGACAAGACCTTTTCCAAAGGCTGTTTCATTCAATGGTTCATCGACGCCTTCTGAATCGTCATAGACTGTACGACGATGAAGCATAATTTCGATTGAACCATCGTGAATACTTCAACCACCTTCGGATCTATCTAGGTGCGGAGAATATTTTCTAGCATCGTTCATTCTCCGTAACTAAGCGTGAAAATTTTCTCTCTACAGACTAGTTTGAGAATTTTCTGTGTGTTTTAGAAAAATAGCTTTTAGTCATTATCATTATTACCTGTGAGTACAGTCAATTGGCGTGTGCCATCTTGGATCCAAATGCGACTATTTATCGGATAATAATTACCACTGACATTTTCGACAATGGAATAATTCCATGTTGGACGATAGTCACGTATTCGTTCGAGTACTTGACGCCCATTGGCATCCGTATAATATTTCGATGCACTTTTAATATCGGTATCATATCGTACAACAATCTCCTTACCGACATTATCATCAATCGGAATGGGTCCAACTGTCCATTCTACTTCAACAGTTGGCATTTCGCGGTAGAGGCTCACTTCTTGACTAGCCCATTCATTGAATACAATCATAGCAGATTGCACTGTTTCCGTTTTTGTACACGTTCTAATTTTATAATTGAAAATAGGCGAAAATCATTTCTATGAGCCACTTACATCGCACGAGTGGTGCTCACTGGCTGTGTCTCCGATGTCAACGGTCGGAAAACGTAGGCACCTGATGCTTGAAATTCTGGAAGAGAACTGTTACCTGGGAAACCTTGAAAATGAATTAAGAAACGAACGACATCAAACCTACTAACGTTTTCGTATCGTCAGTGTACGGACTATACGTAAAATTCAGTAGACAAATGCGAATTTTTTAAAGAATTCTTTCGTGATTCATCTCACAGATAATCAGCTCGTACAAAAGTTTCAGTTTTTTCTCTTATTCGTTCATTGAGTGAAAGTCGACTGGACGCTTCTGTAGAGAAACTTGCACCTTGCGCGGGTGAAGTCTTACTCCATTTTCTCATTACATGCTAGAACTCACTTACTTGTGTACCAGTAGAAACCTTGAGCAGCGAATGGTACTGCAATGCGCTGCTCCAAATTGATGATCTGATGTAAATTGCCTTGATCGTCAAATTCGACTCGGAGATGCTACCAATGGCAACTCAATTCGATTTTATAGCGCAATCTCATCTCTTACTTCGTTCTCCAAAGTGCAAGCTTTGTTTCGGGTCGTTGTCACCTTTTTCTCCTCGATTTTCTCACCACCTATTATATCAGCCAGTCAAAAAACGGATGAGTTAAACAGTGATTTTACTTTTAACTTCGAAATAATAAGTGTTAAAACCAAGAGCAGGCAACGAAGTTGTGAATATGTGCTGGTTTTGAGCAGAACTCTTTCGACCAGGAATGTTTTTTGTGGTGTTTGGAATCGAGAGATACTAATATAGAACATAATAGATATTCCACAATGATCTCATGTACATTCGTACTTCGGCTGGAACAGTGCTCCCCATTGGATCGCGAATCAAATATTCTTTTGTAACAGGTACACGAGCATGATGAATGACTGGATGAATGGTGGGGTTCCAAATTGTCAATGTAAACTATGAGGACAACATCCACCTTACATGAATACAACAGCATTCTATTGCGTGCGCTATAGTGAATGAGCCTCTCAGTATGTTTTGAGCACGTAAGGAAAAGTCATGGTCAAAATACTGCGAGAGTCATTCGTTGTGGGGCACCTGATATTTACCCGATCCTGTCCTTCTATGGGTAGGCACTCGCTGATGTTTGAATATTGACAGAGAAATTGAGGTGCTGCCATTGGTAGTTTACTCTCGTTAGGCAATAGTTTAGCATAGGCATTTGTTAGCGGCCAACCCTCGATCGTATTTTCTAGTATCTTCTACCTCTCTCTATGTTATTGTTTGTTTTCCTTTATTCTCTTCTTTTCTTCTCTTTGTTATGGAATTATTGTACGTGACGGACATGTTTATATATATATGATGTTTTTTCTTAAATAAAACGCAGATATCGATCGCTCGACGAAACGAGCTAACAATTTGGTGCCGTGACCGA